TGACCTCGACTACTCGCAAAGGTAGACCTCTTCCATCCCACCGACATGCTTTCTATTGAGGAGGCTGAGCCTGGGAAGTCGAGGTCGGCCTCTCCAGTCTCTGGGGACAAGGTTGCCGAGGTGGTTAAAAAGCTCTGTGGTGGCAGAGTCTGGTCTGCATTGCTGGCAGTAAGTTGGACTCGTTTCTGGTGAGAGTTGGACTCCGCCAGGGCTGCTCTTTGTCACTGATTCTGTTCATTACTTTCATGGACAGAATTTCTAGGTGCAGCCAAGGTGTTGAGGGGATCCATTTTGGTGGCTGTAGGATTGCATCTCTGCTTTTTGCAAATGATGTGGTCCTGTTGGCTTCTTCAGGTCGTGATCTGCAGCTCTCGCTTGAGTGATCCGCAGCCAAGTTTGAAGCGGCCAGGATGAGGATCAGTGCCTCCACTTCCAAGGCCATGGTCTTGAGCCAGAAAAGGGTATAGTGCCTTCTCTGAGTCAGGTGGTGGAGTGGTCCTGCCCCAAGTGGAGGAGTTCAAGTATCTCTTGTTCGCGAAGAAAGGAGCGGGAAATCGACAGGCAGATTGATGCAGCGTCTGCAGTGAAGCAGGCCCTGAAAAGGGTCTATTGTGGTGAAGAAAGAGCTGAGCCAAAAAGCGTAGTTCTTGATTTACTGGTCGATCTACATTCCTACCCTCATCTATGATCATGAGCTTTGGGTCATGACCTAAAACACATGTCAAACTCAAGGCCCGCGGGCCAGATGTGGCCCGCCATGTCATTTTATGTTGCCTGCGAGAGCTTAAAAGTTTTGAGTGTCTAAAAATAAATACCAAAAAATAAATTAAGAGCGTGCTTTGACCAAAAACTACATTTCCCACAACGCCTTTCTACCTCGGTAGCCGTGGCAGTGTTTCCACATCCATGCCAACGAGTGGAATTGAGATATAATGATCCCAAAATGCCCAGAAAGAGAAAAGTTGATGCAGACGGAAGACTGTTTCAAGACAGATGTGAAGGCGAATACTTGTTTGTGCTTCAAGGAAAAAGAACAGTATGTGTTTTGTGTTACGAGGCGGTGTCGGTTGTCAAAGAGTACAATCTGCGTCGACATTTTGACACCAAACACGGAGCTAAGTAGGCTAAAGCTAGCCTTCAAGAAAAGCAACAAATTGCCCAAGAATTAAAAGGCAAACTGCGGTCGCAGCAGTTTGTTCATAAAATCCACAGCCAAAAACCAGGCCGCTAGCAGTGAAAGCTAGCTTCATTGTGGCTGAAGAAATCGCCCACGCTTCCAAGTCTTTTTCAGAGGGAGCGTTTTTGAAGCAGTGCATGCTGAAGGCCTGAGCAGGTGTGTCCCGACCAGTTACAGACTTTTAAAAATGTTAGTTTATCAAGAAACCACCGCGAACCGAGAGAAGGAACTAGCAGAACATCCTACAACACAGCTGACCGAGGAGACGCGCAGCGACACAGCTTTTTCATTAGCTGTGGATGAAAGCACAGATAACAGACACAGCGCAGTTATCAATATTTATTAGAGGCGTAAAGTCGGACCTCTCTGTCACTGAGGAGCTGTTGGCTGCAATGCATGGGACCACGACTTGTCAGGACATTTCTGATGGTGGAGAAGTCCGTAGGTAAAAATGCATTGCAGTGGGAAAACTTGGTGGGATTAACTACAGACAGTGCACCGGCAATGTGTGGAGGAAAAGTGGGCTTGGTTGGACTAATGAAGAGGAAAATGCAAGAAATGAACTGTCACACGCCTCTGATAACGTATCATTGCATTATCATCAAGAAGCTTTGTGGGAAGGTGCTGGGGATGGAGGACATGTGACCACAGTCATGAAAACATTCATTCGGGCCTGAATCACCGGCAGTTCCAGCAGTTTTTTGCTGGAGATGGGCTTGGAACACGGGGATTGTGCCGAACCATACAGAAGTACGGTGGCCGAGTAGGAACAAAGTCCTCAAGCGATTTTTTGAGCTCAGGGAAGACATTGCTCTTTTTTTGCAGAGTAAAGGAAAACTCATGTCTGAACTATCAGATCCAAAGTGGCAGTGTGACTTTGCTGTGTTGTGTGACATAACCGACCATCTCGCCCAGCTGAATCAGAAGCTGCAGGGACGCAAACAAGTCATCACGCGGCTTTCCAGCGTAAACTGGACTTATGGAAGCGGCAAGTGAAACAGGACAATCTTGTCCACTTTCCTGTTTGTCAGAGCATGTCAACCTCGTTTCCCGAGACTTTTTCATGTGCTCAATTAGCTACCAAACTGAGCTGGTTAGAGACTGAGTTTGATCTCTGACTTCAACAGTCTGGCTTTGACATCTTTGCCAATCCTTTCACCACCGATGTCTGCACTGCACCCAACACCTTCAGATGGAGCTAATTGAGCTTCAAGGCGACAGAGGCCTGAGAGCAAAGTTCCAGGATGCTGCAATTCAGGACTTTTACCGTCTGATGCCCCCTGGTTTAATTCCACAGCTTCGACTTCATGCTGCCCGTGTTCTGTCCATGTTTGGAAGCACCTATCTGTGCGAACAGTTTTTGTCCATAATGAATCTGAATAAAACCAAGCACAGATCAGGCCTCACGAATGACAACCTCCATGCTGTTCTACACATTGCCTCAGCACAGGACCTGAAGCCAGACATTAACACACTGGCAACGGAAAACGATGTCAGACACAGCTTAGCATTTTTTTTTGAAAACTAAGAAATAATAAAATGTAATTCAACCAAGAATAAGAACAGTTAAACTGTGTGCAATTTAATGATTGTGCTTGCATTTTGTTTTGTGTTGATCATTTTCAGAACATGATCAATCGATAGTAGAGAGAGAATCCACTTGGTGTGTTCAAGGACAGGCAGCATCTCCTCATCTAACCCAAAAAACTTGAGTAATATAGTTGTGAACTGAGTCAACCTTTATTTTTGTATTTTTAGTTGATTCCATATTATTTATGTATAGCTGCTGTTGTAATTATTTAATGTTTGCAGGTCTTATGTGTGTATGCAGGCAAATTGTTGTCATCAAACCATCAGTTGGATGCAAGGCTGTGTGGAGCCTTTTTTTGTAAAATGCTACATGTGTCATACATGTTCTTTGCAGCTCAGTTTTAGGATGTCTTCAAAGCTATTTGACTATTTGTTATTTTTCTTTATTCACTTGGACAGATTGATCCTTCATTAATGGAGTTATGTGGGTTTTCATAAGCTGAAAATTTTTTAAAGGATTTATGTTACAGCAACAAGCAAACATGTTTTCTATGCAACTGTAATTGTCACTTGAATAAGTTATAATAAATAATGAGTTATTTAACATTAAGGAGTAGTTACATTTATTTTACATTACATTCGATTACATTTAGTTACATTTATAAGTTACATCTGGCCCTTTAAGGACAGCCATTATGCTGATTGTGGCCCTCGGTGAAAATGAGTTTGACACCCCTGACCTAAAAGAACGAGATCGCGTATATAAGCGGCCGAAATGGGTTTTCTCCGCAGGGTGGCTGGGCTCTCCCTTAGAGATAGGGTGAGAAGCTCCGTCATCTGGGAGGGACGCAGAGTTGACAACAACCCAAATCTCTCAATCCTTCATACATGTAGCACCAGAGGAAAGGAAAATGTCGCCTTAACAGGAAGAAACCTCCAGCAGAACCAGTACCTGGTTCAGTCTGAACAGCCATCTTCCACAACCGACTGGGGTTTGAGGAAAACAAACAGAAATAGAAGCAGTGATCCAGGAATTATTTCTACATTAGAGACAAGTAAGAAGTCAATGGCACTAGAGTAGATAAAGTAGTCACTGTAGTAGCTTCATCTCGGAGAGAAACACATCTTAACAGATGTGCTATAGGAGAAAAGAGAGCATATGCATTTAGTCATATCTACGGCTCAGCCAGTAGCTATGTCCAGGAGAGTGACATGGTTGGACCCTAAAAGACAGGATAAGACTGGTTGAATATCTGGAAGACCCAAGCTACGACATCCTCTTCCAGAATTTGGAGAGAACATTGTTGAAAGAATATATTCAGATTTTTTATAACACCCAAAATTACCAGTAATTTCAAATCTATTGTTCAACTGTGTTGGAGAGATTGTGGAGTATTTAATATTAACCATGCACATATTTTCTGGCTTTGCCCTAGAATTACACAATTCTAGAACGAAATACACAAAAAGATTGTAATGATATTAGGTTACACAATACCTAAGACTGGTCTGGTTTTATATCTTGGCCTTTTGGACGATGTTATACTTAATACTGACTGCTATTTGTTTAAAATTCTGTTGGTGGTCAAAAAGGTAATAACTAGGAAGTGGTGCCAATCTGAACCTCAGACCACCAAGGAATGGATACAGACTGTGAACTCTTTATTTGAGATGGAGATTCTAACACATAGACTGAGGACACAAGAAGAGCAACGTCAGGATGAATGGGGAAAATGGACAAACGTCACATCAACACTACAGGACTTTTTGATTGTTCTGTATTTTTTGTCTCTTAGAATTTCTAAGTATTGTTTGACTTTCCTTTTTGAATGTACTCTAAAAATGTCAATAAAAATAAAGTTATATAAAAAAAGACAGGACAAGAATGTCCTCTGTCAGTATGTGTGAGTATGACTTGGATATTTCGTCACTCATTGTGTTATTTTGTTCAGATATTAACATATTGGACACTTTCAACAAATTTTCTTTCATCCAGCAATGGAAAAATCTGAATATGTTATCCAGGTTTTGACTCACCTCATTAGTTGATCATTTTCTTCATGCAGCTTGGTTTTCACAACGTTGTTGTCAGTTATCAAGATATTATTAGTCTACCTCTAAGCTATTATTTTTAAAGATGTTGCACAGCATTTAAATAATTGAAATGAAAAAGGCATATTCATTTTGAAAATGAACCTTTGCAACATCAGGCCTTATTGCTGTTGTTAATCAGTAATAAGGCTGTAGGTGTTTGTTACCCTGAATTGTCTGAGTCTCATGTTGTCACCTGCAGGAGGTTTTCTGATCCCCTATCTACTCATGCTGGTTCTGGAAGGTGTGCCTTTGTTCTATTTGGAGCTGGCTATTGGTCAGAAAATGCGTCTGGGCAGCATCGGTGCATGGACTGCTATAAGCCCATATTTAGGAGGACTTGGTAAGAGTCTAGATTACAAACACAACATTTTCTGATGCTAACTTTGATAGTCATTCTTTGCTTTTCAAACTTTAACCTATTTTACTTATATCGTTTTAGGACTTGCCAGTGTTGTAACATCAATGTACTTATGTCTCTATTACAACATTATCAATGCATGGAGTTTCTGGTACCTCTTTCACTCATTTCAAGTGAGTTGGTTACTAAATGCTCTATTTTTAGTAGGAAATACTAAAACTGTGTTGGACCTGCAGGGACATAGGACTGTGTTAGACTGTGGACATGTTGATATTTTGCCAAAGCAAAGAGATGTTAAAATCATCTTTATAGTGCATTACATTCTGTCTTCAATATATATATACTCAGCAGTTTGCCTGTTTTTCTTTTAGCTTTATGAATTAGCTTTAATGTAGTAATATTGAAGTGAACTTAAGTGCAATCTAAATTTGGAAAAGCAAAACCTTCTGTAAGTAAATATTTGAAGTGCTACATTTCTTGTATTTAATCATAGTGCAAAACACGACGCTAAATTCTTCACATACAACTTGTTTCAGCTGACCCATTATTTAGCTGGGTCAGGTGAATTTGGGTCAATTAGCTGATTCAAATTGGAAAAACTGTCTAAATTAAAACCTGTTCAGAACCTATTGATTGTACAGTTATATTTTTTTGCTAACTTCTAATGTCTGTCCCGCTGTGCTCCTTGCACCCCCACCTCCTCCCCTTCAAGTCTGTCTTGCCCTGGGCAGCTTGCCCTGTAAATTCCAACCGGACCGGACCTATAGAGGAGTGTGAAAAAGCAACACCCACCCAGTATTTCTTCTACAGAGAAACCCTTAACGTCTCTCCTTCTATTGAAAAGAATGGCGGCATTCACACAGGCCAGGCACTGTGTTTCCTGCTTGCATGGGTGATAACTTATTTCTTCATTATCAGAGGTGTAAAGTCAACTGGAAAGGCAAGAAAGCTTCCTTATTTACAGACTCAGTAAAGCAATAATATAATCTTTAATTGCATGTATAACAGAGTTCACTGTAATATTATGATCCTTCATATTGTTTCCTGACAAATTCACATCCCCATATTAAAAACCTTGCACCAATAATTGTGCTGTTTGACTTTTGTAGGTGGTATACTTCACTGCAACATTTCCATATGTTGTCCTGCTCATCTACTTGATTCGAGGCATGACTCTTCATGGCGCTCTAAATGGTGTCAAATACATGTTCACACCCAAGGTAAGAATAGATTGACTTTAGGAATATGCACAAGGCCTCATCACCTTGCTTTAGATATTAGAACGATGGGGTTTGCTTTAACTTTCATGTGCATCTCTGCTTTTAGATGGAAGAACTTGCCAATCCTACTACTTGGATCAATGCAGCCACTCAGATCTTTTTCTCTCTGGGTTTGGGTTTTGGGTCCCTCATAGCTTTCGCCAGCTACAACCAGTACCACAACAACTTTGAGCGGCAGGCCATCATTGTCTCCCTCATTAACAGTGGAACATCCATCTTTGCCTCCATCGTCACCTTTGCCATCTATGGGTTCAAGGCAACTATCAACTATGAGAGTTGCTTGGAGAGGTATGTATTATTGAGGATTTAAGTAACATTACAAATATTTGGATTCTTAGAGAGGCGTGTAAGACTTCTTGTTAAACATCTTGTGTTTTTTCACATCTGGAAACAAACAGATGCATTTAGAACGATATTATATATATATATATATATATATATATATATATATATATATATATATATATATATATATTCTTTCTTTTTTGAAAGTCTTGTTGAAATGTATGAAAATGAAAACTTTAAAATGCAAATGAGACAACTGTATATCAGTGAATCCCTGTTAATTCTCTTTGTCCCAGTTCACAGTCCTCCTGTCCTGTCACTGTTGGACATTATTCTGTTGTCTGTCTTCCAATACAGACAAAAATATCATAGACATAATCACCTTTTACGAATCCTAATGCTTATAATCCATACTCTTGTTTGGCCATATAAGCTCATGAGAAAATGTTGACAGCCATTTATGGAGATTTGACCTGGATCAGGTATGTGAGGGGGGGCTTGAGCCCCTGTCCCTTTTATCCTTGATGCTCCTAGTACTCTTTTTGAAGTTTTTCTTTTTCAAATTTTTTTTTTCAATTTTTTATTTTTTTTAAATCTGTATGTAAGAAGGCCTGCTTGAGCCCTCAGCAATACTATTTAGGTAAATATAATAATTTAGCAAAATAAACTAGCCTGGCTGCCCTCAGTCTAATAATGACTCAGTTTCTGCCTCCATGTTGTTCAGACTCTGGGTCCATGGTGAGGAGGAGGGGTCGGATCTGTGTCCTCTAACTGTCAAATGATGGACAAGCATTTATATTTTTCTACCTTGTTTTGTGAATAAAAACGTAGGTCTGATGTTGACGTTAGGAAAAGTATTTCTATTTTTGTCCTCACAATAGAGGGAAAAAACGTAAGTCCCCAAAGCATCTGCGGACTGGCATAGGGGCCACCGGGGAATTCCAGGTAGATTCCAGGGGAATTCCAGGTAGATTCCAGGGGGATTCCAGAGATGCGCATTGCACCAACTGTTCAAGCAGGGCCGGCCCAAGGTAATATGGGGCCTTAGACAGAAGCCCCCCCAACACCAAAGCCCTTCCTACCAAGAACCTCAGCATCACTAACATGTTTAAATATCAATAAGGTGAATCTGTGAGAGGGAGACCAGGTTTATTGGCTGAGTTTAAAATCAATCACTGATTATTGGTTATTTGCTGTGATGTATTTGCTGTGATCAGAGGCGTTAACATTAAAAAATTATATTGAGTTAACCCCTTTGAGCTTTTTTGAGTTATAAAACAGTCTGCAGCCAAGTTGTTCTGGAGGTTAAATAAATATTATTAGGACTTAATTAGTAAAATGGCAGCAATTTTGCTTATTTCATAACTTCATGACCTTTGACCTTCTCTCCTCTGGTCTAGTGAACAGCTACAGTCTAACTAACCCTCCAGGACTTTCAGCAACAGGAACAGAATCATTATTCCTGTTGGGGAAAATATACTATATTTGCTTTGCTTTGTCCCACATGATGGCAGTGATATAGCAGGATCCAATTAAATTCTTGATTAATATACGATGTTGCAACGTTGCTGTACGGTGACCAATATTCATGTAAAATATACAAGAGAAATGTGTACAACGATACAAATCTTTGAATTCAGAAACAATCAGTCCGTTTGGAGGCTGTTGAGTAACGTTTGACAAATTGTGCTGATGGCGCTGGATGTGGAGCTGTCAGGTGTTTTAAGAGCTTGTTCAATGGGCCCCTTTTTACCTGAGCCCCTGTCCCTCCAAAGGGCTCTGCAAGGCCCTAACCTGGATTATTTTAAAAGCCATTTATGACTTGAGCTAGAACATAGTTCAGTTATAATTCTTGTTGAGTGGCTCTGGACAGGCGAGGACACTGAACAAACTGCTGGACATCATGGACGATAGCAGCCACCCTCTACACGCCGTCATCAGCAGCCAGAGGAGCCTGTTCAGTGACAGACTGCTGCTTCCCAAGTGCCGGACCAATAGATTCAAGAACTCCTTTGTCCCCCACGCCTTCAGACTGTACAACTCCTCACTGGGGGGTCGGAGGTGACACAGGACAGAGGGAAGAAGGAGTAGTTTTTCTACAAATGTGAACTCCATATTTATCAGGCCAAACCATACAGTGCAATACCATATCACTGGTCAATCTATCGACCAAATTGCTATAATTTCCTTTTGTGTTGTATTTATATTCTTTGTTTTGTATTTAATTTGTATTTTGTGTATGCTTACTGTGTGCCACATTTTTGCCTGTTAGCTGCTGGTAACTATAATTTCCTGAGGGAGTCTTCCCAAGGGATCAATAAAGTCAAGTCTAAGTCTAAGTCTAAGTCTAGTGTGTACTACTGTTGCTTTATGTTAGCATCAGATCTATGGTTTTATCAACATCCACCTTTCTTCTCTCAGGACACGCATACTGCTGCTCAACTCTTTCAATCTCGCCGAAGACAGCATCGTCATGAACAACGTGTTTGAAATGATTGAGAAGCTGAACGCAACATTCCCAGAGCAGTTTGCTGAACTTAGCAACAAGCTGGAAGACTGCAACCTGGAGAATGAGCTCAGCACTGTATGTACCTTGTCATTTATTGACTGATGTTGGGCTGTAATATCAGAAATTAAAAACCTTCACTTTTTTATATTATTAGTCAATATGTACAGATGGTATCAATGCCAAGATAAACATTTTCAAATAATAATGGCTGAAGCACCAGCTTATTTGCCAACCTTTCCTACTAACCATCTTTTTCTAAACTAAACCAACCACACTTTAAAACTATCTATACATGTGCCATTGACTTGTATTGATATTTGAATTCTGAAGTTCAAAACCTAGTATTTCCCATTTTAATGCATCAATTGACATTTCATAAAACTTTTATTGAAAGAAATACACGGTTATTTTGAATCCTTGCTGATAAAGAATTGTTTTGTTTGTATTATAATGAACTGATACTGTAGACTACTAATATGTGATTTGTATATTGCACAGCAGGAGTCAGAGGTTTCCAATTAATGTCAGTGTAACCCCAACAGCCTTTCCATTTGCTTTGGACCCAGCATGAGAAAAGTCATTTCATCTGTCAAGTTGCGCAAAACATCACATAAAGGCAACGTTTTATGTGATTGCTTGTTTTATGTGGATGTTTTTATGACGTTCGTTCAGCACTTTGGTGTTTATATTCACAATGAACTTAAGAGTGTTTTTTTGTGATGGCCTTTCAGTTAAAATCTGTGTTTTGCTGAGACTGAGCTTTGTGCAGTTAGCAATCATTTTATGCCCCTTTACTTCTCTTAACAAAAATACAACTTGAATGTGAACAGCATTGATGTGAAGAAATAATTTAGCTCAGATTCATACAGAAGTATTAGTTGACCAGAAGTGGGCCAGAATGTTCTTAGAACATTGTAACAAGTTGTTTTACCTTTTACTATTATTAATATTGAGCAAGATCTATGTTCAGTGTAATGTATATGGTAAATGGCATGTATAACACTTTACTTTTTGACAACGGTCGTAGAAGTTTACCTGCAATCGGCAGGTTGCTGGTTCAATCCCTGCTGCACCCGCCTCTCTTATTGTGTCCTTGAGCAGGACACTTCAGCCACCTTGCCTGCTGATGGAGGTCAGAGAGCCTGGTGATGCCTGTGCATGGTAGCCACACCTCTGTCAGACTGACCCAGGGCATTTGTGGCTACTATCCAGTAGTTTGCCACCATCAGTGCTTGTATGTTATACAAGTAGAAGACAGATGCTGGCGCTGTATGTTTGTTCATCTCTGTACATATGTACAGTGACATTAAAGCCAGGTCTAAAACAGAGCAAACCATGTAGGGAAATCTATACAATTTAAACATAAATATGGCAATATTAACAATATTCAATGAGTCAAATTTGGATGCACCTGGAGCGCCTACTTGAGGGCAGCAGGTCAAACAGCTCGAAGCCAGGTTGGGTTCTGTCCTTGGCTCTGCGGCGGCAGGAGGAGGTCTGAATGTCCACCGGAGAGGAGCGAGGACAGCCAACAATCCTCTGAGCTGCTTGTAGAGTTAGGGTTAGGGTAACAGGGTTAGGGTAACAGTGCAGCTGCTGAACCATACTGTGATGCAGTATGTCAGTATGGCAGCTGCAGAATCTGCATGGATGAGCGGTAAAAGGTCAACAGCAGGTTGGAGTTTAGTTTGTGCTTTCTGAGTACTCTCAGCTGCTGGGCCTTGATGACTGCTGGGATGTTATCAGTCCAGGAGAGGTCAGCAGAGATGAGGACGGCAAGAAACCTGAAGGTGTGGACCCTCTCCACACTCAGCGTCAATGTAGAGAGGAGCTGGGTCGGTGCTGAGCTTCCTGAAGTCCACAATGACCTTTTTGGTTTTCTTGGTGTTCAGAGTGAGGTTGTTCTGAACACCAGGCTGCCAGATTCAGGACCTGCTCTCTGTAGACTGCCTCATCACCTTGTGAAATGAGTCTGACCACTGTGGTGTCATAGCAAACTTGACAGTGTGGCTGTTGCTGTGGGCCGGACTGTGTGTGAGTATAGAGGAAATACAGTAGGGGTCTCAGCACACAGCCCTATGGAGAGCTAATGCTCAGTGCTTTCCACTGTAATATGGCACAAGGCAGTTGCTTGGGTTCACCTTATTTACTTTTAATGCTGGACAGCATGACTGCTTTAAAAAAAAACAGAACATTTATGCCTATGTTTACACTCACTAAAACTAGATTCTGTCTTGTGTTCACCTCAGGCTGTGGAGGGGGCAGGGCTGGCCTTCATAGTGTACAGTGAGGCCATAAAGAACATGCCGTTGTCTCAGCTGTGGTCAGTGCTGTACTTCTTCATGCTTCTGATGCTGGGAATGGGCAGCATGCTGGGAAACATCACCGCTATCACCACCCCACTACGGGACTTCAAATTTCTGTCCCGCATAAGCAATGAAGCTTTAAATGGTAAGAGGTAATATTAGGGTGAATCATATTCATTCATTACACACAGACAGTTATATTTCAAATGTTTCTTTCTATTTAATGTTGATGATTAGATCTGACAACTAATAAAAACTCAGAATTCAGCATCTCAGAGACTTAGAATATTACTTGAGACTAATAAAAACTGACTTAGAAATGGTCAACTGAAAAGTATAAGCAGTCCTTGGTTGGGCTCCTTTGCCTGGATTACTGCAGCAATGCAGTGTGACATGGAGTCCATCAGTCTGTGGCACTGTTATGAGAGCCCACGTTGATCTGATAGTGACTTTCTGTTCTTCTGAGTTGTTGGGTCTGAAGTATCACATCTTCCTGTTCACAATAGCCCGAAGATTTTCTATGGGGTGAAGATCAAGCGAGTTTAACCAGCAAACTCGGTTTGGTGGCCAAACCACCAAGAATGTCCTTGGTTAAAGACAAGGACATCCTTGTCCTTAAACCTTGTCCTGGTCCAACAACAAGGATGCCATGGTTCTTAAACCAGGTGCTGATAGCTTTGGCACTGAGTGCAGGTGCTAAGTGCTGTTGGAAAATTAAATCTGCATCTCCATAAAGTTGTTGAGAGGCCGGAAGCATGAAGTGCTCGAAAACCCTGGCGGATGGCTGTGTTGATCTTGGACCACATTGGACCAACACCAGCAGATAATGTGGCACCCAAACCATTTAAATAAATGAAAAACATTTTTTTATTTATTTCGACCAAAATATTGTAGAAGTCGGTTGAAGAGTGTGAAGGACACGTAGGAGCAGTCTCTTGTCAACGCCCGCCTAGAGCCTCTGATGTGTCTGACTCGCGTCTGAGCAAAATGCCAAGCGTCTGGCTTCAGAGTGCACATGCATCGAACTTGAAGCATGAGACGAGTTTTCGACGTTCGGTTTGAACGCACCATTAGCCTCACTTGTAATAAAGTGTGTGGAGCTCCATTTCAGTTGCCATGTGAGGGTCTTAGCTTGGGGTTACTAGCTCACAAATTGTGGCACAACATCTAGATGTTTTTGAAACAGGCCGACACCAGCAGAACATTTACTTATTCCCAGAAAAATAGCTGGATGTCTGTTTTTCTTTGATCCTTTTGGACCAAAGAAGCAGGAGATGCTCAAATGGAAGTACAGAAACTTGCAAAAAGTGAGTTTTGCATAATAGCAGACCTTTAATGTAAGTATTGTTATGCACTAAGTTCTGATTTCTGTCTGTTTATTCTATTTTTGTAAAGCATTTTTATTCAACTTTTTATTCCTGAAAATAATGTTTAATATAAGTAAATGAGTCAAACACTTGAAGTCTTCTGTAAAAGTTCTCCTCTGAAAATCACAGTGGAAATCTTCAGTTCATCCACAGATAGAAAACACTCATTAGCATCAGGCTCAGCTCCAGTTTGTCTTGTAAAAAATAACATTGTTCTGTTCAAAGTTTCAAAAAAGTATACTCCATTCAGAGGTGTTATTTGCTCAAACGAGACCACATGTAAGTGCATATCAGCTAAGGTCAGGTGGAGTATCTGTTAATGATCAACTGACTGATTGATGTGCAATCTGAGAAAGCCTGAATCCTGATTGTGTTGTTTTTGTTGAATGATTCATAGAAGACGTTAAGTGAGAGCAGTAAACCCTGACATCAGCCATGAGAAACAATTGACGTCACTAACAGAAGGCTGTGCTTTGCTTCAGGTTTTGTGTGTGTCCTCTGCTTTCTGCTTGGCCTTGGCTTCACAACAAGATCAGGAAACTACTGGTTTACCATGTTCAACGACTATGGAGCCACTTTCTCCCTGTTACTCATTGTCCTTATTGAAGTCATAACTGTCAGCTACATTTATGGAATCAAAAGGTGTGTATAGTTATTTTAATGCTTAAGTTTGCTTTCTTTGTATTTGTGTTGTATTATCAACAACTGAACAACTCAGTCAACTTCCATTAATCTGACAGCATTTGAATGTCACCCTGTTGCCTTTAAGTACTCAACCTGAATAAGTTGAGTTTAAAGTGTCCTGACAGCAGTATTTGTTCTTTGAATGACAAATTGTCTATTTTAGAGATTTTAGAATATAATTGTAAAATGTTAAGCTCTCACTTCTGCCTCTTGTTTGCATAGCATTGCACTTCTTCTTGTAAACTATATTCCAGTTCCTTTTGGCTCAATTGGTCAATCTATTAAGTATGTCTGAATGAGGAGCATCACATGAATTCAATTTGAAAATACTTTATTGTTTCTCAGGGGAAATTAAATGAGATAATTAAATGAAGGCAACAGACTGAATGTTGTTCCCATGCCTGGTGGTTCAGCTGCTGGTGAAATGATGAGCATGACAGCAGCATGTCTCTCTCTGCTCAGTGACAAACTCTTTGCTGAATTTGAAATGACCTCAATATTCTGTCCATATTTAAGGTTTGAAAAAGATATAGAAGACATGCTGGGCCATCGTCCTAACTGGTTCTGGAAAATCATGTGGGGAGGAATTAGCCCCCTACTTCTTATGGGCCTCTTCTTGTTCTACATCATTAACTACATCCGAGGAGGAACACCCACCTACCAAGCATGGAACAAAGATCTGGTGAGTTTGTATTTTTATTCATCATGTCTCAGGTGGGGATTTTCTATTTGCTGCTTCAGTTTGTACTGCAGTGAGTTTCAGCAGCCCACACTAGACTAGCAGTCTGTCTCCATGAATGCATGATCTATGTGTTGTTCTCTACAGCATCTTGGCAAGGCAAGGCAATTTTATTACTGTAGCACATATCAGTAACAAGACAATTCAAAATGCTCCACATAATTTCAAAATAAGATAAAAAAGCAAAACATTAAATTTTAGTAACTAAGGGAAACAGACAGACAGCAGTTTATAATGCTCCAGTTGCCTTTTAGCTTTAATTTAAAGGAGCTCAGTGTTTCAGCTGTTTTGCTATTTTCTGGAAGTTTGTTCCAGTTAAATGGAGCATATGAGCTCAATGTTGCTTCTATGTTTGGTTCTGGTTCTGGGGATGCTGAGCAGACCAGAATTAGAAGACATGAGAGGTTGAGAAGGTTGATATAACAACATTAATCATTAATGTGTATTACTGCTAAAGCATTTAATGATTTATAAATTAGAAACAGCATTTTAAAGTCTATTCTCTCAGTGGAAGGACTTTAGATCTGGGACTTTAGATCTGGGTGTTGTGCTCCATCTTCCTGAGTTCAGTCAGAACACGAACCGCAGCGTTCTGGATCAGCTGCAGCTGGACGATAGACTTTCTTAGTCAGACCTGTGAGGACACAGCCTGGTAAAACCTGGCTTCTTGTTCTACACTTTGCTTCATTCAGAGGGTCTGGACTCTCAGCTGTTGACGAACATTCGCTTCTTGTTAGGGTTTCCCCAATTGCTACGCTTTGCCCTTTGCCTATGTAATGTGGCTGTTCCAGGTTATGAAGCTTTAGGAACTTGTTTGCACTGTAAACAACCGTCCTCCACTGCAGAGAGAGAAAAGCTGAGCTGAACGAGACGGCGGATAGGAGTGATTTAATATATGGAAGAATGATCAACACGGACTGAACGGCTTCCTTTACTTCCTCTGCTGACATTGCTAAAACTACAGGAAGACTACAATTCTAAAACAGCGCAGAATATTGACATCATAACTTCTCCTGCTGGTTGCTGATTGGCTGGTCAAAAATTGGCCGAAGGCAATCCGAGGTAAGGCGAAAAGGCCCAGACTGGTAGCAAAAATTGTTTTTGGAGCAGAATTGCACTGGAAGGCCAGGCTAGTGAAACCACTTACAGTGTCAATGTCAAATTTATGTATATAGCACTTTAAAACAGGTATAAAACTGCACCAAAGTGCTGCACAGGAACGACAGTAACACAAATAGATAAAAACAGAATATCAAAAAATTGCTTCAGTTAAAAGCCAACGAATAAAAATGAGTTTTGAGAAGCGATTTAAAATGATCCAGGCTGCAAGCATATCTAATCTGAAAAGGCAAATTGTTCCATAAATTAGGAGCAACAACAGAAAAAGCCCGATCTCCTTTCCTTAGTCGGTCTGAGGGACTGGAAGTAAAAGCTGATTGTTTGATCTGAGCGTTCTGGACACAGACTGAAATTTTAAAAGGTCCTGGAGATAAGGGGGAGCTAACCCATTTAAAACTTTATAAGTTAATAAAAGAATCTTAAAATCTATTCTATACATAACAGGCAGCCAGTGTAAATTGACCAGCGTAGGCCTTATATGGTCATGCTTCCTGGTTCCTGATCAATGTGACTAAAGTTAAACGCATGGGTGAGTGTCTTTAAGATCTTACGTTAGTCCTTCAATCCAAGAAATGTTCATAAGGTAATAGAACATTTTCAGGATTAAAGAAGGCTGAAGGTACAGGTCAGAGTCCATCACCACACTCAAATTTTGGGCCTGAGCTTTGGTTTGTAGCAGTAAAAACTGAAGCTGCATGACTCCAGGTTGTTTCATTTTAGGCCCTATGATTATCATGGAGCCTCTAAGGGGACATGGAGAAAAAAACAAAGCAATCCAGATTTATTTTTTAGATCTCGATAAACTTTTTGAAAAATTGTGTATTCCTTTTTGGGGTGAAAAGGCTGTTTACAGTTTCTGCAAAATCGGTTGTGGTGGTGGAGTCTAAACGAGAGACACAGAGAGGATGATTTACGTTTGCTAGGTTCCAGAGACGTCCCAGATGAAGTGATGCAAAGTTGGTTTCCGATTGCAGCTTCCGATTCGGGAAATGGCTAAAGGATGATTCCACCTAATTTTTCACCAATTTCAGTATCTGTCAAATATCCTAGCTAAAATACCTCAACATCTAGACTCTTCAAGCCTGGACTAGATTATTCTGCTCCAACAGCAGAACATATAAAACCAAGTTTGTGATTTGTGAAACCTTCTGATTTCTTACATTTCAATAAAGGGCGATTTCAGCCCTTTTTATGCTTTTGGTCACACAACTGTTATAGCTCTAAAAGTGCAACACTGAGACACTTTAAAGATGGACGAAATTATTCTATTGTATTGGCTAAATAACTTGAGCAGAATGAAAAGTCAAAATAGGCCCGTTTGTGTTAGTATGAAAAGTCCTAGTTAAAAACACACAAATTTCACACGTGTAAATATTTTTATTTTACACCTTTTCTTTGATTTCAGAGATGTGAACATCAATCTATTTCTGCTCATATTTCTGCATCAGAAACTCTTTTCTCTCACTGCAAAAAAAGATGTGAAAGACTTGAATTATTTTTCTCCTTCTGATTGCTGATTGCCCGGTTTTTTATACATGTTTTTAACGCTGTAACAGCTGTAATTGTGTAGTGTCTCTTTAAGATACTGTAGTATTGCTGATGATGTCACAAGTATGCGACTCAGTTTCTCTGTAGAGAACGAGGGAAGGACATGCTACAGCAGCGAGACATGTAGGCTTCCTAACTCTTAGTGACGCTACTGGTTGTGAGAACCCTGCTCCTTTTCATGTTTGATAACATAGCAGCTGTTCAACCGGGCTTTGTAAGGTTGGTGAAGAGAGTTTATTAAAGGACAACACTGTGGAATTCCCAGTACCAGTGTGGTTGTGGGTGTTTAACCGTCCTGATGAGTCTGCCGTCTCCTCTTCACTCTTAAACACAACCCAAGCGTTACAAATGGCGCCCGAACATTTTATCTTGGACCTCGGCATGCAGTATCTTCTACCAGTTGATTGAAACGTTTGCAGTATAGGTGATATCTGCTATACTTCGCGGGAGCGGACCAGGCCAGCCCAGACGCGGACGACAGAACGTTTTCACGACAACGGGCGGGAAAAATCGACGTTGTTTGCGGTTCCCTGCTGGAATCCTTCCTCGTGACAACTTTAGATCAGCTGCGCTGCTGGGACGTGAGGCGGATTATGTTTTCTAATTTCTGAATGTGCATGTGTGCACAGTGGAGTGAAGCGGAAATCCCTCATCAGCTGAACGCACGCCGCGAACTCTGCTTTTGCTGGATGACCTCTTAGGAACTTTCTGATTGGACTCAGCTCTGTACCGGATCAGAGCTGCTAGACATCAAATCCATCTGAGAAGATACGAACTGAAGCAGTGAGTGTTGGAAAGAAATAGACGGAAGTTAATCTTCGGACTCAGCAACATATTTTTTTAAACGGACAAAGCGAAGTAAAAAAAAAAAAAAAAAAAAAAAAAAAAAAAGTCTACCCAGTTAAATCTCTTAAGTCTATATATGTATGTGGCTAAATGTGTTTTAACTTTTCTGCGTCTGCTTTTCAAGTGAAACCAAAAAAGAAAAAGATACTGCTAAAATTACTAACTAACATTCTTAGTATTATTAATGTGTGACCGAAACTGAAGTTATTCCAACATCACCTGCATTATACGGAAGGGGATTTACATAAGTGTACATTATGGCTAGTCATCCTGACTTGAGTGATTTATGTGATGATTTGGACTTTAGACTGCCCCCAAGACAAAATGAGGCCAGACACAATACCCCCGACCTAGAACATAAAGTGCAAAGTCTAAAAGCAGAGGTGGACATGCTTCAACAATGTCTATATGAATCTTTGGATCTCCAGAAAAATATCCTGGAGCGTTGGACCCAACAAACTAGAGCCACCCCTGGAGTCCCAACTGCTCATGTTACTCAACCTTTTCCTCAGGCGTCATCTACACCTTATGGGCCTAGTCTGCATACCAGGAAAAAAGAGCGGCACAACTCGACACCTGTCCCCACTCAGTCCACAAGGGCTCCATCTCAGACCCATCCGGATTCGCTGGAGTTAATTAATACTACCAGAGTCCTCGCTGCTGCTTTGCACCAAGCGAAATTAGAACCCACTGTGTTCAGTGATGATGGTTGTCTTCACCCAGAGGAATGGCTGCAGTCTGTGAATGCTTACAAAACCTCTTTGGATTTATCAGACACACAGATTCTCAGAGAACTACCACATTTTCTAGCAAAGGAACCAAGGAAGTGGTTTAGTGTTCTCAGCTCTCATGTGTCTACTTGGACTGAATTTTGTGAACTTTTCAGAAATGTGTTTTTACCTGCCGATAACCAGGAGCGCATTATGAGAAACATCTTGGACTGTTTCCAACATCCTGAAGAACCATTCCCAACATTTGCAGCCCATATGCTCAGTGAGTTCAAACGACTGAAGAATCCTCCATCTGAGCAGGAGCAGATTGACCTTATCTGTAAACATGCAGTAGAGAAGTACAGAGTGGCACTGTATGGAACACCTATCAAATCAGTAATTGATTTGGTGCTGCGTGCCCATGAGCTACATTCTGTTCTCGGCACCACCCTACCACAGCCATCAAGAGTACAGATGAAAAATAGAAATGCTGGAGAACCATACTGTTTTAAATGCTCCATGCCTGGTGTTAAATCCCGCACATGCCCGAACTGTTCCACTGAGTATCATGGAGCTCGAAATTCAGCAAGACCTGCCAGAGGGCACCCCCAAACTCCGCCCACAGATTATCAATCTGCAGAGCCAGAGAGCGCCAACGTGGAGAGAGAAACAAAACCAGCAGGCAGGAAGCCGGGAAACTTCAGGGGGGGGAGAGTTTTT